TGTAAGAGTGCTTCTACTTCACTTTCCTGTCTGTCTTCACTGTAAGAGTGCTCTACTTCACTTTCCTGTCTGTCTTCAATGTAAGAGTGCTTCTACTTCACTTTCCTGTCTGTCTTCACTGTAAGAGTGCTCTACTTCACTTTCCTGTCTGTCTTCAATGTAAGAGTGCTTCTACTTCACTTTCCTGTCTGTCTTCACTGTAAGAGTGCTTCGGCTCCAACTGATGGGGTAGATCTGTGACGCATTCGCTAAAAATTTTCTTCAGGCGACAGCGATATAGCAAAGCAAACTTTCAAGCCGATCAAAAACCAAGTTATGAAATGTTTGATAAGCACGTTATGGGGATCTAGTTCTTTCCATCTCTCACGCCTCCCCGAGAAGTAAAAACTGTACTCACACGACTGGGACTCTAGAGATCGCCCTTGAGACCCTCCACGTTTGACAGTCCGCGAACTGAGGACACGTTCTGTGAAAAAAAGAAAGAGGAATCCAGAATTATGCGTGAAATTGTGGTCTACTGTTTCTCACTCAGAAATTAGTTCACAGATAAAAATGAATTTCATTCCTCATATTTACTTAAAAAAATAAAATACCCAAACCCCAACTGTATTTCTTTCGCTTCTAAGTAGTCTCATCCAGAATCGTCGTTTGGGTTTTTCACACTCGATTCTCGCCATCTTCGCTTGGTTTGAGAATGCGTTGTGTGAGGAGCCGTATTTACCCATGCTAAACGTGTCTTCCCAGTCCCAGGAAACTTCTTCACACTTCACCTAAAACATCTTCAGGTAGACCGCGCATCAATACAAATATACGGCTCTTTCACCGTCGAAGTCTGCACAAAGACTTCTTTGAAAGGAGAAATAAATGAAACAAGCAAAGACTGGCCACTCCTATCAACACTCAAAATTTCTTCAAAACTTTTTCACGAGCTTTTTCATATTTACCTGCAACGATGAGAGAATTCCAGTGTCTGCACGCCACGCAGGACATCACGTGTAGGGCGCCAAAGATCGGCCTCGGGACAGCTGTACACGGGATTCCACCCTTGGCGCGTGCGAGACTGTCAGTCAATACACCAAGTCGACCATTGTCACCCCTACCCCACGAGTAGATCTGATTGTCTGAAGAACACAAAAACAAATCAAGATTGACCCTTAACAGCCTAACCTCAGTGCCAATATTCTACGTACTCTTTTCAATACATTTCATTTTACTGGTTTGAACCCGGGGTTAATTAAACAATAGAGTGTTTCTGTCGAGGAACTATCGGCTGATAGTTGACCCGCGGAAATTTGATGTTCTTAAAACAAATGTGCTGGTTTTAAGAACATCAAATTTCCAAGGGGCAACTATCAGACCGATAGTTCCGAGACATAAACACTCTATTGTTTTTATTGTTCACCACTAAATTTTCTTCCGCGCCTACAGCTTGTCACAAATGTCAATAATTCGCAACCGTACATTGGCTAAATAATACGTTATACCTGTCAGAATTGAAAAGTCACTGTTTTTCCGATCTGCCTAACTTCGCGGCCGTCAAACTATTCAAAACTTTTCACGGATGAGTACTATCAATCCAGGTATTTTCCGCGGACGGGCACTATCCATCCGGGTATTTTCCCCGGGGCGGGCACTATGGGCTGATAGTGTCTCTCCACGGATGAACACTATCGCGTCACGTGATCAATTTAAACCAATAAGAACCGGAGAAAATTTAGTGGGGAACTATAACAAGTGACAGTGTAGTGCGATCGTCCGGGTGAGTGTAGTGTGATCGTCCGGGTGAGTGTAGTGTGATCGTCCGGGTGAGTGTAGTGTGATCGTCCGGGTGAGTGTAGTGTGATCGTCCGGGTGAGTGTAGTCCTGAGAAGTACTGTTGTCGGTGGTGTTGACTGACGTTTCGACAACCTGAGCGGAAGTCATCATCAGGTACAAGTGAATAGCTGTTGCCAGTCGAATGATCTTAGTCCAGTTTCGACAACCTGAGCGGAGGTCATCACCAAGTAAGTCAAGAATCATTACATTTCCTTTGGTCCTGAGAAGAAAATTTGTTTAACAATCAAAGATTCTTGGGTTGGTGAACATTTCCTTTACTTTCATGATCTTGATGTTTGATTTAGCAGTAAGATGAAATAACAGGCTAGTCGCCCTAAGGGTTTGGGTTTAAAATGTTAAAAAACCCCACACAGTGAGCTCTTTATTTTCCGGACACCCCAAAGATTCCTGGCAAAATTTCTCTAGAATTTTGACGGAAACAAACTCCTTTCATTACAGACTTAACGACAAATTTTTGGGTCCCAACGACACACTTCCGTTTCTTGTTTCAGCAGACACTGATCTGCACATTTAAACATTTCAGCAGATGTATCCCCATTTCTGAATTTTTCCTTGTCTTTTTGCCCTATCACTCGTGTGGTTTTATTTTTGCTTCTTCAGCTGCGTTTTAATTTTTAATTTGCTGTCATAATAGGTGGTTGAAATACTTCTGTGTGCCAAAATATTGAACAGAACTGGAGCACTTTTTTTTGTTCAAGGCCAGAGCCCCAATTCCCTTTTTCCCCCAACGGTGTTTTCTCGCTCCTCATTTTTTCGGACTCTCGCTATAACAGGCACCAGATCGATGTCTGCAAACAACGGAGTTGATTATACTTACAACATAATTGTCGAAGTAAAATTTCATAGACTCAGATAATATGAATTTCCGTATAAGTTAGTCACTTACCTGCGGTTGCCACCACTGTGAAGTCATCTCCACACGCAGCATGTACAACCCTTTTACCGACCATTTCCCCTCTAATGATAGAAGGCCCCGCGCGGGGCTTGAAATCCCCCACTCCTAACTGCCCGAACCGGTTGGACCCCACTGTTACCAGCCGGCCGTAGGCTATCAGCAAATATAACAAAAGGTTAAAGAGTCTATACGGCCAATAGGATTTTTATAGTTTTGGTATGTATTTAACATGTCAAAAAGTAAGCTTAAATAAAAATTGGATTCTGACGAGTCTTCGCCCTGAAATCGAGCTTTAAACTTCCCGCTTTGGCCACGCCCATTGAAGGTGACCGTGAGTCGGGGCAAAAAAGAGATTGGGTCGTGACATCAAGTCAGCAACGCGCCAAATCCCGCCAGTGGTTCATGTCACTGTTTTTGCAGTAAGGTAAAGAGTTTTCGGCGACATAAATATGCCAGATAGATGTGTTGTAAAAGTACTGCGTTTGTCAAGCAAAGTAACAACGCGACGCTCGAGACGCTCCTGGAGTGACGTCACTCATCAGCAATCTTCCCTTACGCGGTCAACTTCATTGGGCGTGGCCGAAGCGGGAACTTTAAAGCTCGATTTTAGGGTGAAGAGGCGTCAGAATCATATATTTTTTTCTTTGAGAATACTTTTTTACAGGTTAAAGAGATACCAAAACAATAAAAACCCTGTTGGCCGTAAAGACACTTTAAGATAAGGTTAACCAGAAAAACTAAAGTGACTTCGTGACTGCGAGAAAACAAAGATTCAACCCCAAAGACAAAGATACGAATATTCGTCTCGCCTATCGGATTGGTCGCTTCGCCTTCTCGAATGTACGCGTGAAAGTAGAAGGCAATGAGAAGTAAGCCTTTATATATTAACAAACTCCAATCTGTTCGCTTCCTTTCTCGAAACTCCCGAGAGGACTGAACACTGATGACGCACTTCACAGAATTTTCCTAGTGCCACTGATGGGCTGTTTTTCCGTCTTCAATTTGCGCGCGAAAGTAGCCAGCACACGGAGCCGCTCGAAATTCTCTCAAGAGTGCATTGAGGTAATTTCAGATCAATTTGCTAGTGAGAAAACAACTCAAATTAGACGTAGACACTTCGAGCCATTAGCTGCAACTCATTGTAACTAAACTGCGCCTTCCGCGGTTGACAAGCCTACCGTCTATGACAGCTGAGTGTGATCTCCCGGCTGAAACAGAAGTTATACTGTACCTGGAAAAACAAACAAACAACCAAAAAGTCATTATACAACGCAGTATTCTTGTCTCCACTAAAATTCAACGGTTGCCTAGAAACTGCTTATCGTACTTTCTTACACAAAGGCAATTGGCTATTGAAACTATTTCCTTTGGCTGGGATGTTAATTCATTGCAGGTCACCTCCCTCTGCAATGCGCTTTTGAAATACGAAAAATGTTAGGGAAAGAGCGAACTGTGTGTCTTAAAGAAGGTACTCACTTGTTAAGAGGCATAACAGGTTTAGGACGCGTGACGTATGGCAAGTGACCTGTGGCCGACTGAAAATGAAACAAGTAAGTCACTGAGTGGATAAAGTAGAGGTACAACAAACGGCGTTCAAATATGTGATCACCGCAAAAATTCTATAGTAAGACAATAAAAGGCATTTCAAAACAGAACAATTTCAATCGCTACTTGGAAAACTTTTATTCCATTACGTTGAAATCAGAAATGTTCGTAAGTTTATGAAGTCATACCGCCTCCCGGTTAGCTCATTTGGTTAGAGCGCTGGACTGTTGTGCGGGAGGTCGAGGTCGATGGTTCAAGCCCCGGCCGGACCAACACTCAAGGTCTTAAAATAACTGAGGAGAATGCGCTACCTTTCTTTAATATCAAGAAATGGATAGACATTCTAGTCTTCTCGGATAAGGACGAATAAACCGTAGGTCCCGTCTCCTGCATCTATTAATTAGTTATTTTGGTTAGGCAGGGGACGTTAAAGAACCCACTCACGAGATTACTGTGATGTGGTCTGGCCTGTTTACTGGGAATTGTGGGGGAGGGGGCATCTCCAAATAAGTTTCCTTCAATTGTTTGTAAACTGCTGATGCAGTCCAGCCAAAGTCCCCCGAAAAGTGTTGTGATGCGCATTTGATCATATCCACATGTTAATTTGCGCAATAAAAATATTAAATTAAAATTACAAAAAAAAATTACAAAACACTCAAAATAAAATATCCAACGCAGCAAACAGTAAGCTGTTCGTGAATATTTTTCACGCGTTTTGCAAAATATTTGGAGGATAATAAGACAATAGCCTTTATTTTGCGTGAAAACATGCTTGCCGTATATTTGCTCTAAGGAAAATGTTCGTATCTTGGAACAGATAATGTCCGCAGACAAATATCCGTACTTATTTTCGCGCCAAAGAGAGGTTATCGTTCATAAATTCCGAGTAAACTTATATGGAAATGCATTGCGTCAACTATTGCGAAGTTGAAAAATATTCCAAACATCCAAACGTTCAGGACTGAATAAAATGTAATCAAAGAATTATTCCTTTCGCGCTTGTTGGAGGCGAGATTGGTTATAGAGCCTACTTGGCACTACGATATATAGCTTTATTAGGAAGTAAAATCATTGCAGCCTCAGGACCGGCTGAAATACGACTTACTTTACAATGGGAATAAATTATATCTTACTCTAAGATAACTACAATAAAAGCCGCAAAATGTAATCTACAACAAAACACAATAAGAGAAGTATCAGAAACCAAACTACAAATAATTAAGATAGCTACTAATAATCAAAACTGTTCGCCATGATAAATGTGTTTTTGAACCTATTTGCATTACAAATCGGTAGCTTGAAGTATCTCTGGCTGCGGGTGCGATAGGTGGACTCGTTGCGTGGAGGCAACAGATCATGGAGCTTGTGGCTTTCGTCCCTTACAATCTGATCAAATAGAGCGTCATTTTACGTGACTTGTTGGCCGTTTTCGTATTAACCGGCAGCGGACGGTGAACAAGGAATCACTTTAGCAGTTAAACACACCTTAGTTTGTCTTTTCCTGAGTGATTGTGGTGTATCAAGTCCTAGCTGATTTTCCTCATTGTTACCAAAACCCAACAGTCGTCCAGTTGAGGTCTGCAAGAACGTGAAATCTGAGCCACAGCAAACTGACACAACCGTACACTGCGATGGTACGGCCACCTGGTGCAAAGTGCATCAAGAGCAAGGTTAACTTTAATTCTGGCGAGGTATGGATTTCAATTCTCCGGTAAATTTCGAGCGAGCCGCATGAGAACTATGGCAAGCTGACGAATCGTCACAAATAAATGAACGTAATCACGGCCACGGACGAAAGAAAAACTCATCAGCCGCGTTAATTTGTTCCTTTCGCTTAGTTTTTAGTTTCTTGCCTAGGCTAGGATAAGTCTCCCGTTTATGATACGTAGAGGTTAAGTCATCCTCCGCTAGCACACGCCTTTTGCTCGTGCAACCACGAGCATGAGCAGTCACGCCCCCTGGCCTTATATTCTTCGAGTCTTTAGGCGTTAGGCAAAGAAAAGGAAAGAAAAAAAAAATCAGTGCAATGCACATGTACCTTTTGAGGGGCCGCACAATCGTCTTCGTCACCATGGCCCAAACGACCTTGAAAGGGAAAAAAAATGTATTAGAAAAATGCTCAGATATAAATGGATGCAAAAGTTATGAAAAAGAGAATTGGGTGGCTGCAAAGCTCTGCTAATTCTTACATCAACAACGAGTGGTTAAGACACTTTTAAGTTTTAGAAAACCTTACACCCCAACGTTGGTATTAATTTTCTTTGCACTGCTCTTTTTACATTTCCAACGATACAGACAGGTAAATTTGTTTAGCAATCAGGAGCTTCTTAAATTGGAGATCATTTCCTTTATTATCCTGACCTTTATATTTGATTAAGGGTGATATTGTAAGGAGAAATTAGAATCCAGTCAGTCTTAGGGCTTAAAGGGTTAACACTTATTCAAAATGACAATTTAACAAAGCTAATTGTTGTCCTTTTGTTTTGCTGAAGTTCACTTTAAGAGATAAAAATGAGCTTACCGTACTCGCCACAGCCCCACGAATAAACTTCTTTTGAAACTGCAAAAGTGAGGAGGGATGGGAAGACGGTGAAAACGATCAAAAAAGGCTCGAGAGAGCGTTAGGCCTACTCTGGGGCCTAAGTCGACTTAAGCAAAATTGGCAGAAAAATGTTGGGACTTTATGCGATTCAAGGCAATTTAAGGCGACTTAAGGCGACTTAAAGCGATTTTATTTGACTGAAGTGATAAAATCAAAGTTAGCAACAGTCTCTCCATAAACCTTAAAAATATTTACAGAATCGCTTGCAATAAACACAATAGTCATTTTGGTTACTTTTGTATGCTCATAAGTCACAATAGCGACTTAAGGCGACTTTAGGACACTTAAGGTCCCAGAGTAGGCCTAGCGTTAATTCATTCATGAGTACGGCAAACCTGGTTATGGTTTCCACTAACCAACGACCAATTCACGACCTCCTGAGACAACTTATTTAGCCTTTAGCGCTCTTTCATTCGCTTCGTTTGCCTTTGTCAGGGCTTCCATTTTAAATTAATTGAGTTCTGTGTGGGGTAGTCGTTGAAACTGGTTCACACAAAACAAAGTGTTCAGTTTTTTGGCCAACTGGATGCCAACCCGACACAAATCACGAATTCGGTCTATGTATTTCCCGAGCTTAACACGGGGCACAATTTTTTTTTTCCCGAGTTCTGATTGGATCGCCCCGCCATATGAACGTGTTGTGATTGGCCAAATGACTTCATCTCAGTATCAGGGTCAGTATCAATAAAATTATTTATTATACAAACTAACCCGTAACAACTACAACATGGCACTCTCCACACGATATTTGTGACACAGGATTGTCAGCAAAGAATTCCACTTTGTACGGCGTAACGACTTCTTCGTCCAACTCGTTGTTGCAACCGATGCAGCCCCAGTAGTCGGACCCAAAAGTGTACAAAGTACCTTCCTCTAGTTATCAAAAGAAATGGAAATCTGTATCAGAATTGCTGCTCGACCAAAAGAGATTTACTTTGTAGAAAAACGATTACAAGTTGTTGCCTATGTCTCTCCATTACTTCCAAACTAATGGTAACGTACTCAAAAGAAACGAAGCACATTTTTTACTCTCTTGGGTTTTCACGCTAACAACTTCGAGAGGGCCAATGTTTCCCGCTAGGGCAGCCAATCAGAAACCTAGGTCCGCTACATCTCACCCGCCATCAGAACTGGCCAAGCAATAAGATTTAGTACCGGTTAACTCTCAAGGAAACACATCAAAATGGGGTGACCTTTGCTGGACTTGCACAAGAGTGTTTCTACAAAACATACATCTGTACCTGTGACGCATGCGGTAAATTCATCTCCACAGCCCACTTGTTTGATGGGAATTCCATGCAAAGCTTCAACTGGTTTTGGAATGCGATATGAAGCGGTATCTCCATGTCCTAACTGTCCCACCATCTTTTTACCGCCATGAGCATTCTGGGAAAAAAAGAGAGATTTCTGGGTCGAGAGAAGGCCAGGATTTGTCATAGCTCTAATCAGAGTCAAACTAATACTAAAAAAACAT